CTCCACACCTATGTATGTACCTTCCTTCAGCCACCCTTGCACTTTGTCTGATCACACACTATTGAAACTGGGCCCCAGTGTGAAAGAAGGAAAGTTGTTATTTCTGCTGCTATGTCCTCTTGTGAGGCACCTGAACCTCATTTAGAGTTCAATTAGAGACATCGTTTGATAGGGGCCACCACTCCTACTGCAGTAGCCCAACAGGCTACTTCTGCTATCTAGGCCATGTACAAGAGTGTCCTCCCTCTTGTTCAACTTATAGTAGGTCTTGACAACTCTGAGGGTGAACCTGAAAAGCTCATTGATAATAGCCAAAGAAGCTACAGAGAGATTGCATTATGGTATCTAACTGGAAATTTATTGCATGACAAACCAATACACACACACACACACACACACACACACATATATGTATGTATATTATATATACATAGATATGTATACATATATATATACTTTTCTTCCTTTCATATTTTTTTCTCCATTGCTCATTGTTTTTATACAAAGGTGAACACTGTTTCTAGTTTTTCTGTTGTTGTTTTGCTCTGATCTTGTTTCTTTTTCTTTCTTGTTTTTTCCCTGCTATCTTCTGAACCAGTTCCCAAAGCTTGCAAAATCTCCCTTTGTCCTCCAGCTTTGCTTTTAATCCCTTTATTTTCTAGTTCTCTATTTTTCTTCTCTTAAATTTTCTCCTCTTGAAGGAAAATCTCCACATGGAGAGGATATCAAAGGTATACAATTTTCAGGTTTGTTTTAGATTTTGTTATATAATTGCAAATCTTGTTCATACAGTTAAAGGTGGAAAATTAATATTTACCAGTTTAAGTCAGCATCCTAAGCAACCTTATCTGTAGGCTCCCCGTGCCCCGCGACAGCTGCTACGCGGCTGCCCCTCGGTGAGAAGCGTCTGGAGGAAACGGTTCTGCTTCCCGATCTCCGGGCCGCGCCGATCCCCAGAGCCGGGAGGGGCCTCGGGCCGCCTGGAGATGCGCTCACGGGTGGGTGAGCAGAGCAGACGCCGCCGAGGCTCGGTTCCGGGAAGGGCGGGTGCGATCCCGAAGCTGAGGCTTTAGAATCCGTAGGACGGCGGGCGGACCCGCGAGGCCAGCGAGCCCGACTCCGTCGTTGGACCCCACGTGCGTCTGGGTCCTCAGGAAACCACGTTTCCCTGCTTTCTGTGTCACCCACGAGTTTCACCCATCCGGCCGCGGTCGTCACCTCCTCACCCTTTTCTGCACGAATCCGTCCATCGTGCGTCTGTCCGTCCACCTGTCTTTCCATCCGTCCCTTACTCTTCCAGTAAATTACTATTAGATGAGGCAAACCTGAGGAAGGCCGACCGCGTGGTTGCACTGAAAGGACCATTCCGGTAAAGTCGCTCACCCGATGTTTTTGGCTCCTCGGGGCACCTCAAAGCTGCTGTTACGCCCTCCCGTAGCCTCTGTACGCTGCCGCAGCGTCGTGGCCTTGTACACGCACATCCCACAACCGAAAGACTTGATCTTTTTTTTTTAAATCGAGCAGTTGTCTGAAGAGTGGGGAAAATGTCGCCTGCAGGCGAGTCCCGCGCAGGGGAGCCCACGCCGACGGTCTGTACGCCACGCGGAATCTGAGGAGGCCGGCGGCGGGGTGCCTGGATCTCCCCTCCCTCTGGCGCCCCGTGACCCACGCGTGTCCGCAAAGGCACCTGCCGCTCTCTGAATGAGCCCGGAGGGTGTCACGGGCTTGGAGAAAGCGGGTCCTAGTCCTCGGAACCGGGGGTGCGGCCCGATGTCACAGAGTCCCCGACACGGACCCGCGGTCTTGGCGGTTGGGAAAGGCGCCCGCAGGAGAGAGGCCCAGCTTCTCCAAGGCGGGACCGCCTGGGGGTCGCATCGGGGCCAGTCTTGGAGCTCAGTGCTCTCTGATCACTTCTGCATCCGCTCCCTCACCCCTCCTTTGCTGTCCGCCTTCCTCCTGGGTTGCCTTATCCCACATCCCAATTTCCCGCCTTATCTCACATCCACAATCCCCCGCGGGCCACGTACATCGAGTTTAACTTCTACTCGTAGATCTCAGGATTAATGCATGTCTCTCCTGATAGCTTGACCTGCGTATAACGGACATATCATGCTTTGGTTTCTAACTTTCGTCTCCTCGGCCAATGACTTCCTCGGAAGAGTGCTTCTTACTCAGTAAATTTCTTAATTATTGGTATATACTTGTTATGTTTCTTTTTTACTAGTACGGTCTGGACTTGGTACCTAGGATATTTCTAACATCGTCACGGTGTAGACTTACAAAGCGTTATTTCGTGACAAGCCCCCAATTTTACAATTTGAAAAAGTACATTGATTATCTAGCGTGCGGATATCGAACTTGTCATCTTAGGACACAATAACCAGCTCCCATAATTTAAAAGAAGAGATCTTTAATTTGGGACTTGGTCTCAGGGGGTTCAGTCCGTGGTCGGCTGCCGCAGTGATCTCTCTCAGGGGGTTCGGTCTGCGGTCGGCTGCTCCAAGATATGAACATCACGATGGAGGAGGAAAGATGCTCACATCACGGCAGCCCAGAAAGCAGCAGGCTTTTCAAAGCGATCCCTTGTATCTATTTCGATGGGTTCTGGGTTCCCATGGACACCCAAGTCTTTCAATAATCAAGTCCTTAATTAAATGGCCTGTTATCTGCATATGACCTATAAACCCCTCCTGTGTCCTTGAAGTCATCTCTAGATGACCACGGAAACTTAATACGATGCGAACATTATGTTGGTCGTTGCTAAAGTTCATCCTCTGGGGATTCCGTACAGGAGACCCCTTCTGTGTGTACTCTTAGCTCAGACGCCGTTTTTCATTCCGGGCTTTTTTTTTTCCCCCTTTATCGCTTGAATCTAGGTTAGTGGAGCCAGGGAACGGGGCCAGTTATATACTGATAAAAATCCTATTTTTTATGAGACTCGGTAGTCTGAGAGTTTGGTATCTGCAGGTTGATCTTGGTATCGACACCCTGAAAACACCGAGGGAAAACCGTACTTAGATTGACAGTGCGCTGCGTTCTTCCTGTCTTTTCAGGAAGGGTCACAGACATCCCCGAATGTTTATTCATTTTCTATACTTGAAGGTAATGGGAACCACAGATTCATGGCTCTACTCTCTTTGTGGTATAATGGTCGATTCGCTCATGAAAGTATTCACTTGTGCTGTTTCAGTCCTGTTTTACACTTTTGTCTGCATTTCCCATGATTGACTTCACAATTTCATTTCAGATTTCTATAGATTTCACAAACCATAGGTATCTGTGTAATGGCATCTGCTCTCTGTCTCTCTCTATGTCTCTGTGTCTCTGGCTCTGTTTCTCTGAGTCTCTGTCTCTCTCCCTGTCTCTCAGCCTCTCTGTCTCTTTCGGAGTCTCTGTCTCTCTCAGTCTCCTCCTCCCTGTCTTCCTCTCTCCTTCCTAGATCTGTGCAGATTTATCATCTTTTCCGTTCCGTTTCCTTTCCTGAATGCCCTAACGTCCACTTCTGTGGTACTCGCACGATCCAGGAGGGAGAGTGGCGCTCTTTGGGCCTCGGTCTGCTGCTCCTGTGCTGGGTTCCTCGACCTCAGGGCTCCTGAGCTCCCTTTGCTGCTAGGCAACCTCGTTTTTCATCTGATTTCCTTCCTGCGGTCTGAAGACCTTCTC